GGGGAGGAAGGAAGGAAAATGTAACATACCTATGAGTTGAGTATCAACAAGCTCAATATCCCATATCTTTAAGATGGATTAAATTAATATGTTCTAAAAAACTTACAAATTTCTATAGATTTGACATCTTTACCCTATTTTCCCCCCAACAAATAACAGAAGAGTAACTTCATTACTACTTTAGAAAGGCATGTCATTAGCCCCACTGTTAAAACTGGGACTTTCATAAAACTGTATCTAGACTACACTCACATTTACCAATGTGACTGTACCTTGAGATAGGGGCCATTAGGAGGTAATTAATCCAGCTTTATGGATTAGAATGTTCTACCAGACATCCTTCCCTGGTGAAGACCCTGAGTTTTGTTTTCAGTCCTCCACACCCTGGGAAGCCATGAAAACTGAATCTGCTGCCCAACTGGAGTGGCTCAGTTGGCTGAGCGATGTCTTCTGTACCTAAAGGTTGCCAATTTGATTCCTGGTTAAGGAACATAGCTGGGTTGTGAGTTTGATCCCCAGAAGGCCACCGATTGATGTTTCTCTTTTTCTCTCTCCCTTCCTCTCTTTAAGCATGTCCTTGGGTGAGAATTTAAACAAACAAACAAAAAACCTCAGCTGAATCTGCTATTTATAAGGTTCAGTAAAAACCCTCAGAGTATAAATGCCTTCAGAGTCCTACTTAACCCTGCTGGGTTCCTACTTTCATGAATATTTTGGACTGTTGTATCAGATTGTGTTATGCAGGATTTTGAAAATATCCAATAGTTTTAGGTATTTTCAGAGAGAGAGTAGATCCAAATAATTTAGTCTTTAGTTGTAGAGCTGATTTAAATAACCTGTTTTTATCTGCTTTCCACTGTCTAAACACTTGTTGATATTTCTAATCTGCTATTCTACTCTGCATTTTTTGTCCTTGTGGGTTTATATTATTTTTACTCCTTTACTATCCTTATTAGTGTGATTTCAGGAAGGAGCAAAGATAAAAGAATATGCTCAGTCTTCTGTAGTACTTCTACAAGTAATCTGATTTTTTTTTAATATTCTTTGAGTTATTCTTCTTAATTGTCAAAACCACACATGGTTACTGTAGAAGAGTTGGAAATTCAGAAAAGTATAAAGAAGATTAAATAAATTAATTCATAATCCCACTACCCATAAGCAGCCATAGTTAACATTTTTCATATTTTCTTCCGATGTTATCCTATATAATAATTTCTTTGCATCCTTAAAAGTATGCTGATAGAAAATTTTATAAACTGCTTTTTCTCTAAATTTTATTTTAGAATTACTTTCCTGTGTCATTAAAAGTTATCACTATTTCCAGTGGCTACATAATTTTTTATAGTAACAGTGTACAATAACTTATTTACCAATTCTTCTATTGTTAGACAATCAGATTCTGATTTTTTTTAATTAATTTATTTATTTTTTTTGCTAATTTTAGCTAATACCTCAACTTCTTACTTCAAGGAGAAACTAAAGAATGAGGATAGAGCCATAATATGAAGATAACGGCCACTGTGTCCCATTGCAGATTCGGATGCCATGTACTACTTGGAATCATCAGCAGATCTACCATGTGATAGGCTATAAACTCTAAATGGTGAACTGCTAGTTTCAATAACTATTTGACACAGAACATCTAAGTCCCAACCCACAAATTATTTGCATCACAAGGAAAAAGAGATCTCATACACAGTAGGTTCATTTCAGTGTCTTACTAACAACCAAGGTAAAAATAATAGTATTAGAAGGGGGCTACAATCTTGAGGTTTATGAGAAACTGGGAACAGAAAGACTATTTAGGGGAATGAACTGATCTCACAGGTGAGTCTAGCATAGAGGCAACTCCAGGAAAGATGACAATCTGGTCTCTGAGATGAATCCAAGTCTGCATGCAACCTTAGTCATTAGTTTTTTTTAACATCTCAAATTAAACACCTATTAAAAGTTTTTTTATGGAAATATGAAACTGTCCTTTAAAATTGAATATTTTGCCCTAACAAGGAAATATGCTATACTAGAGCAACATATTGGCCAACTTTCATGAGTTCTGAAGCATTTGCACTTTCATCTAATGATTCCAATTCTGGAAATTTACCTTATGGATATACTTCACACATGCGTAAGATTATTCATAGCAGCATTTTTTTTGCAACAGTAAAATATTAGAAACAACCTAACTTAACATAAATGGACTTGTTAAATAAATTATGGTACATCCATAATTTGTAATACTGTACAAAAAATAAAAATGAATGAGGGAGCTCTTTCTGTACTGATATGAATAGATCTCCAAGACATACTGTTAAATACAAAGACAGTTTTTATTTTATGTTACTATTTCTATAAAAGAGGGGGTGAAGAAGAGAGAGGGAGAGAAGGAGAGACAGAGAAACACACAAAGAAAGAATTAATATAGGCTTTTTAAAAACTTTTCTGAAAGAATCATTGAGAAACCAGCAATAGTTTCCTTTCTGGGCAGACAAGTGGAATGGGAAGAAGGGTGAGGGAGACAATACATTTTTATATACTTTTAAATATTTAAACCATCTACTTCTTTTTTTAAAGTTAACAATTCTATAAAGAAAAACAATTTAAAATATTCTAAAACCTGCCCAAAAGACTTACACTGACTGATATTTGCTTGACCCTGTTCCAGACAGAGATAGAGCTGAAGAACAAGTTGTGGGCAGCCTTCCAGGTAGGTCTCAAACAGCCTGAGCATGCTCAGATCAGTCACTCTATCTATAACTTCTTTACGTGGATCACTTTGTTCTTCTATGAAGTTATCAGTTTTCCTGCTATATTTGAAAGCCACATGATAACCCTTTTTCAAGGCAAACCAATACCTGTAAAATAAACATGAATACTTATCTTGTGTAATGTATATTTTATAATATATATGCTAATATACACAATAAATTTGAAAAAAGCAGCATATTTAAGTACATATTTTTCCCACAAACTTTCTCTACTACAAATTTCTTCTCATGGTGGCTTTATTGAGATTCAGAGTCCATAACTTTTTATTTCATGTTTGATATGCCATTTTGTGCTAGCACTGTTAAACATACATGATCTCATTTTATCCTCACAATAATTGGGTGAGATAAGTAAGTCTTATTCCCATTTTACAGATGGGGAAACTAAGGCTGAGAACAGTAAGGTGATTCACTGACAGTTACACAGACAGTAAGGGGCATACCTAGAGTCCAAACTGATCTTATGATTCCTAGTCTTAACCACTACTTTCTGAAAGACAAACTGCAATTTTCAATTCATGCAATTTATCTTTTTTTAAAACTTGATTTGAGAGAGAGAGGGAGAGAGATAGAGAGTCAGGGCGGGAGGAAGGGAGAGAGGGGGAGAGAGACAGAGAGAGACACTGATGTGAGAAACAACGATTGGTTGCCTCCGCACACACTCCGACCAGGGACTGAACCCACAACCTGGGTGTGTGCCCTGACCAGGAATATAACCTGCCACCTTTTGGTTTATGGGACAATGCTTCAACCAATTGAGCCACACTGGCCAGAGCCATGCAATTTATCTTAAATACAAGATGCAAATATGTCCTTATGATTAAGTCAAGGTTGAAGATGAGATTGGATCTTCTTTCAAGTTAATCTAGCAAATAATTACTCAATATCGGCATGGTGTTAGTCTCTTTGACCATTATCATCCTAGAAAATAGAGAAAATCTCAGACTCAAAACATCCTTGCTGCCCGGCCAGGCATGACTCAGAGATTGAGCATCAACCTAGGATCCAAGCGATCATGGTTTGATTCCTGGTCAGGGCACAAGCCCGGGCTGCGGGCTCGATCCCCAGTGGGGGCGTGCAGGAGGCAGCCGATCAATGACAACTTTCTCACCATCCATGTTTCTACCTCCCTCTCTCCCTCTCGCTCCCTCTCTCTGAAATCAATAAAGGTATTTTAAAAAAAAAAGATTTCTTCAATTCTAAAAAACAAACCAAGAAACAAAAAAAAATCCTTGCTGGGGCTCTTCAAAGAATTTTAAAGTGAACATAAGTTATCATTCAAGTAAAATTAATTTTAAAAAATTGAAACACTTACTTAGAAGAAATCTGAGTCTAGCAATAAAATAGCCAGGATTCTAGTCCAAAGTTTATCAAAACTCTTTATCTACACCTCAGTTTCCTCATATATAAAATAAGAGCAGTAGATATACCATATCCTGTTTCAATCTGCTCCTCTGTCAGTGTTTCCCATTTCAGTAAATGGTACTAACATTTACTGAAGCAAAACCATGTTGCACAGACCCAAAACGTGGGAATAATTTCCAACTTCCTTCTTTTTCTCATAACCTGTAAAAAATTTTCAGCAGGTTCTCTTAGTTCTAACTTCAAATATACCCAAATCTAAACACTGACCTCCACTGCTATCAAGCTAGTTTCGGCAGCCAACATCTCTGGCCTGGATTTTCAATAGCCTCAAAATTGGTCTCTCTGATTCTACTCTTGATTCCTATACATTCTTCTCTCTACACAGCATCTAGACTGAATCTGTTAAGTATAACTCAGATGTCACTCCTCTGCTAAAAATGTTCCACTGATTTCCGTCACTTAGAATAAATCCAAAGTCCTTACCATATCTTATAAGGCCTTCCATGATCTTCCTCCTGCACACACTATTACCACTACTTTCCCATCTAATTTCTCCCACATTTCCAGGGTACCCTTCTTGCTGTTTTTCCCAACATAAAGGCTTTTGTCTTTGCTGCTTCTCCCTCTCAACCCGATATTTTGTTGCATAATGGTGCTTTAAGATACATGAAGCAAAACTTGTCAAAAAGTGATGGGAGAGAAGATAAATCCAAAATCTTAGTTGAAGATTTTAACACTCATCTCTAAGTAATTGAAAGAAAAAGTAGGCCCCTCTCCCCTCAAAAGTCAGTAAGAATATACAAGATTTTAATACTACTACCAGCCAAATTGCCCTAATTTACATTTGTAGAACAGTATACTCACCAAGGGAAGATTACAAATTATTTTCAAATACACATGGAACATTCCCCAAGTTAGACTATATATATACTGGCCATAAAACAAGTTTTGAATTTAAGATTAATCATATGAAGTGTTCTCTAAAACAAAATTAAATAAGAAATCAACAACAAGATATCCAGGAAAACCTCCAAATATTTAGAGATTGAGGAAAAGGGCCCAAATCCTGGAGTTTCATAAATATTCCACCCTAGGAAATTTTAACATTACTAGATGACCTCTCTCTAAGGAGTTTTAAATTAAAAAATAAGTAGGAAAGAGGTTCAACTATTTAATTCCCATTTAAGAAACTATAAAGAAGGGCCTAGGAATCTATGGGAGAAAGGAGACTAATTTCCCATTGTACTTTTTTTTACCATGTATTTAAAAGAGGAAAAAACAACTTCCATATTTTAAAGATGTAATTCAAATGCCTATCACACATTGATCAAAGGAGAATCTCCTTGGGCAAAGAGAGAGGTTTTATCAGAAATCACATATAAAATGGAAATGCAAAAGTGTCATCTAACTTATATTCTGGAAAATGAAACATTCTATTCCACAGACCCCTGAGCAATAACAGCATACTTAATAGCAACAGGCACTCATACTTGATAAATAATTCATGCTGATATTCTTTGTCTTCCATCTATCAACACAAACTCAATTTATCTATTTTCTAGGGAAATGAATCCATAATTCAAAAAATCTCAAAGTTTTCCACACTTAGCCTGGACAAACCCATGGACAATTTAGCCCATTTTTATGAACTATTTTAATTTTGCTTACTTCTATTTGTCTCAGTATTATGCCACTTCCTGCACTAAAAAAATACACAGAAAAAGACAAAAAAAGGAAAGCATCTTTGTTTATCTACCTGACATTTTTGCTAATAGCCAACCTAATTCAATTTTTCCTTTTCTTTTTTTGTTTAAATAGACAAAAAATTCACATAACTTAAAAATCAAAAAATACAAAGTTATTCAGTGAAAAAACTAATCCCACTTCTATAACCCACATACCCAATTTTCACCCTCCCCCGTGACCACAAGAATTCACCATTGCTAGTTTCATGTGTAACCTTCTGGAGTTTTTTTATGCATATGCAACAAACATAAATATATATGCCTTTTCACCATCTCTTTTTTTCACACAGACTGTAGCATATTATACCTGCTGTCTACACCTTGTCTTTTCACTTAAGAATACATTTTGGAGCTCTTTCCTTTTCAGTGCATAAAGTACTTTACCATTCTTTGTAAGAGCTATGTAGTATTGCCACTGCATAGACATACCATGAACTCTATCAACAGACATTTAAATTGTTTCCAATATTTTGCTATTACAAGCAATGCTACAATTGAAAATTTGTGTGCATATGTCATTTTATATGTATACAAGTATGACAGATTCCCAGAAGAGAACCTCTGGCCTAAAGGTATATGATTCTGAAATATGGTCTAACTGCCCTCCACAGGGATTGTACCAATCCACACTCCCATCAACTAAGTATGACAGTACCTGTTTTCCCAGGCCTTACCAAGAGTATATTATCACCTGGCTTTTTGCCAATCTGGTAGGTGAATAATAATATCTCAATGAAGTTTCAATTGGCATTTTTTTAAATTATGAAGTTTAGCATCCTTCAGAGAACTTAAGAGCCATTCATATATTCATGTCTATAAACTACCCCTATTCTTTTCCCACTTTTCTACTGGATGCATAACCTTTTTTGACTAAAGAAGCTCTTTAAATACGAGAAGACTAGCCCATTATAAGTTGCAGATGTTTTTCCCTGTTAATGTTGTTTTCTTTTAGCTTGGCTTTTGTTTTTGTTTATTTGTTGGGGATTTTTTGTTTTTGTTTATTGACATGCATTTTTAATTGTCAAATCTATAATTTTTATAGTTTATGAAATCTGATTTATGGTTACAAAGGCTTTTCCAATTCTACTTGATTTGTTTGCAATGTATCTGTTGTCTAATATCCTACCTGAAATTATAGTCCATAACATGCAATCTTAAATTATCTCAACTCTACAGAAACCTTCACTATGGTTTTTTTTAATCTTTACTGTTCTTATGCTTCATATACTGGCTCTTGCTTCCTCTTACTTCCATTCTTGTCAGTTTCTACAATCTCTGTGTGGTCTGCCTGTTTGTATAGCATACAGAAAAAATTCTCTTTTCCTGTCCTTGTGGTTTGGACTGGGGGGAGAGTACGACTCTGGAAACAAAACCCTTCCAGTTTATCCTTTCAGATTTTTTTCTGGCTAAAAGGAATTAGATCCCATATTTTATCAGATCAAAGACTGGGAGAATGAAAACTTAGACTACATTTTAAAATTCTCTCAGTACACACCTCTATGTTTCTATCAATATACTTCTGAAAATTTCACCTTCATCACAGAACAGGCTAAACTCCTTTCAAGATTATGTACTAGGGTATGGGCTAAGCGTGACCTTCCTGTGAAGGTTCAATTATAATTTACATAATTTTTTTTCAAATGGCTACCCAGTTGTCCCCACACACCTAACTATTAAGTAAAGCATCAATAAAAATGTGGAATCTGTACAACACTATCAACTACACTTACTAAATATCACTTCTAAAATACTACAACCAACCAACAACTGTAACAGAACACATATGTTTCAAGTATACATGAAATCATAACGGTGGACCATATCTTAGGCAATAAAACAAGCCTAAATAAATGTCAAAATTAAAATCTTAAGAGTATGTTATCTGACTACAATGGGATTAATTAAAATTCAATATTAAAATATCTACCAAAGACCAAAATACCTGAAAAAAAAATAAATACAGCCTAACATTTGGGT